AATGTGATACAAAAAAAAAAAAAACCCAACCGAAATATTTATCAAGAAGAGAATGGTAAATTATCGCACATCCACACTAGAGAATTCTATGCAGAAAGAATTCTACTAGAAAGGTCAAAGCTCTGCAGAGAAGGAGAGTGAAGGCAGAGCAGCAAGTTGCAGAATATAAACTGGGGTCTTTAACTTTATTTTTATTTTTTTTATTTTTTATTTTTTTTACTTTTTAAAGTTATTGTTGAGAGTATTACAGGTATACCATTTCCTCCCCCAACTGATTCCCTCCACTTCCCTCCCACCCCCTTCCCAGGCCTACACCCTGTTAACTGTGTCCATGGGTTATACATATAACTTCTTTGGTTTAATCTCTTCCTACCCTCTACCCCCTTCCCTCTTTCCTCTGACATATGATCGTCTGTTGCATGTGTCAATGTCTCTGGATCTATTTAGTTCGTCAGATTCTTCTGTTCATTAGCTTCTTCTTAAAGAAGACCCTTCAACATTTCCTGTAGTGCTAGTCTGGTGGTGATGAACTCCTTTAGCTTTTCCTTGTCTGAGAAGCTCTTTATCTGACCTTCAATTCTAAATGATAGCTTTGCTGGGTAGAGTCATCTTGGTGGTAGGTTCTTGCTTTTCATCACTTTGAATATTTCTTGCCACTCCCTTCTGGCCTGCAAAGTTTCTGTTGAGAAATCAGCTGACAGTCAGTCGTATGGGTGCTTCCTTGTAGGTAACTAACTGCTTTTCTCTTGCTGCTTTTAAGATTCTCTCTTTGTCTTTCACCTTTGGCATTTTAATTATGATGTGTCTTGGTGTGGGCCTCTTTGGGTTCCTCTTGTTTGGGACCCTCTGTGCTTCCTGGACTTGTAAGTCTATTTCTTTCCCCAGGTAGGGGAAGTTTTCTGTAATTATTTTTTCAAATAGGTTTTCAATTTCTTGGTCTCTTTCTTCCCCTTCTGGCACCCCAATAATACGAATGTTGGGCCTCTTGAAGTTGTCCCAGAGGCTCCTTATACTATCTTCATATTTCTGGATTCTTTTTTCTTTTTGCTCTTCTGGTTGGGTGTTTTTTGTTTCCTCATGTTCCAAATTGCTGATTTGATTCTCAGTGTCCTCTACTCTACTGTTGATTCCCTGTAAATTATTCTTCATTTCAGTTCGTGTAGCCTTCATTTCAAATTGGTACTTTATTATGTTATCGATTTTCTCAGTTATTTCCCTAATAGTCTGCTTAAACATCCTTATAAACAAAATTCTGAACTCTGTATCTGTTAGCTTGCTTGGATCTATTTCATTTAGTTCCTCTTCTAGAGATTTCTTCTGTTCTTTCCTTTGTGACATGTTTCTTTGCCTCCACATTTTGGCTGCTTCCAGGTGTTTGTTTCTATGTATTAGGTAGAGCTGCTATGTCTCCTGGAATTTGTAGAGTGGCTTTGTGTAGTAGGTGTCCTGTAGGGTCCAGTGGCTCAGCCTCCCCAGTCACCTGAGCTGGGCCTTCTAGGTGCTCCCCTGTGTGGGCTGTGTGCACTGTCCTGTTGTAGTTGAGCCTTGGTTGCTGTTGGCATCCCTGGGAGGAATTGACCCCCAGGCCTATCAGCTGTGAGGACCAGCTGCAACTACAGCCAGAGAGCTGCTGTGCTGGAGACACCCCTATGGATCAGGACTTACTTCAGTGGAGCTTTGGTGTTCACCAAGTGCTCCCCTTGAGTGTCACTTGTGAATGTGGTAGGGTTGTAATCCAGCATGGCCGAGTCTGACCAGCAGGTGCACTGTCTCTGGGGCCTCTGGGGAGGTGCAAAGTCAGCCTGTGCCAGTGCCTTGCCCAGGGCCACCCAGCATGAGCTACACAGCAAACCATAGTTGGCTGCTACTTGTGCTGGGCTTGGCGTTGTCCAGGAGAGGCCAAGCTATGACCCAGTGCAGGCTGCTGCTAGTGCCAGGCCTGGGGCCACTTATGAAGCCGTATGGGGCCCGCTGCTGCTTGGTTGAGAGATTTTAGGAAAGTCCTAAGCATGAGGCTCAAGAAGCCACTTGCATAGAAAAGCCTCTGGAAATGGCCTGGATGAGCCTGCAGGTGGGGAGGGGCGGGGCCTCCCGGAATCACAGGGCGGGGCCAAAGGTGTGAGTCAGGTGCCGGCCATTCAAATATGGCGCCTGCCTGCCGGCTGTGTGCGGGGAGGACTCGCCAAAGGAGCCATGGCTTCTGCCAGCTCTTCTGCCTGGGAGGAAGCCGCCCCTCCACCTCTCGCCCGGATCTCAGGCAGGTTAGTTCCTCCCGAGTGTCCCAGGTCCTTTCAGGCAGCTGCTCGGCGCTGGGCTCAGAGGGAGCGCGTCCCAGTGAGTCCGTGTGCAGGCCTTTAAGAGGAGCTGCTGGGGCTCCCGCAGTCTCCGTGACCCTCAGGGACAGTCCCCGCTGGTTTCACAGCCTGGATTTGTGGGGACGTCTCTTCCTGGCCTGGAGCCCTGGGCTGGGGGCTTGAGGTGGGGCTGGGACCCCTCCCTCCTCTGGGAAACCTCCGCCACCGAGATTCCCTCCCGGGTTTCAACCAGGCACCGGGTGTGGGCCCGCAGCCGCTTCTCTGAGATTCAGCCCCCATCCGCCCGCGTCTCCGCCCCTCCTCCCGGTCTCGATGCTTCTTCAGCTCCCTGGTTGTGGGGCTTCTGTGCAGCCAGATCTCAGGAGGCTCTGAGTGATGGTGGTTCTGTATTTTAGTTGTAATTTTGATGGGGTTGCGGGAGGCGGCGGGTGCAGCTGTGACCTACGCCGCCATCTTGTTTTTCCTTTAACTTTTTTTTTAAATCCTCACTCGAGGATATTTTTTCAACTGTTTTTCACAGAGAGAGGAAGTGAGAGAGTGAGAGAGAGTGAGTGAGAGAAACCGATGTGAGAGAGACACATCGATTGGTTGCCTCCCACATGCATCCTGACTGGGCCGGGGATCGAGGCTGCAACCGAGGTACATGCCCTTGGCTGGATTTGAACCCGGGACCCTTCAGTCTGCAGGCCGATGCTCTAACCACTGAGCCAAACCCGCCAGGGCTTTAATTTTTTTTAAAAAATTAGAGCCTATTACACCAAAACACGGCCATGTAGTTCTTGAGTAACTCAGAGTACAGAGAGGGGAGAGTGACCAGGTTGAGCACTAGAGCCCAGGGAAGCAGCAGGGGGAGCCAACCTCGGTTCAGCCAGCCTCAGGGAAAGGGGGAGGGACGGGGAAGTGGTGGCCCTGAAGCGGGCAGCTGAGCAGGTAGCAGGAGCGGGCAGGGCGTGGCAGCCGAAAGAGGAACGTAGGACAGTTCTTAGTTCTCATGGGCCCTCAATAGCGGCCAGTGTGCAAAGCCCAGGCCAGGCCGCTCTCAGACCTGGCGAGAGGCACGGTACCCCCTCCGTGCGGTGGCTCTGGATGCCCTTCCCAGGACAGTGGACAGGAAGGGATATGGGCTCACCTGGCCCAGCGGTGTTCACTGGCACCCTGGCTGGAGGAATGGAAGGGTCAGCCCCCAGTTTTCTCTGTCCCTTCTGTGCCCAGAGCCTCTGTGCCTGGCACAAGGGTGACCTTGGGCCAAGAGTGCAATGCCTTGGCCTGACATTGTGAGGTCACCCAGGGAGGGGCCTGAAAGGCTGCCTTATGTCCACGGCCCATGTGTGTGGAGTACTCAACCAGGCTCTGTGCTCGCACCTGGCCTGTGCTAGTTCACATGTTTCTCACTCATTCCTATAACCTCACCACACAAGGGAGGAAACGAGGCTCAGTGGCAATGGAACTTGCCTGACTTCACACAGCTAGTGTATTAGTTATCTAGCACTGTGTAATGGAGTTACCCCAAAACGTACAGGCATAAAACAACAAACATTATTTCTTGGTTTCTGAGGGGCAGGAATCCAGAGCAGCTGAGGTGGGGGTGAGAGGAGTGGAATTGTCCATAGCAGGAGATGGTTATTAAGTTTGGGGACAACCATCTTAGGGAACACTGGGCACCTTGTTAAAATAGCAAGACAGATTCCTGTGTCCCCAACAGGGAAGCCCTTCACTTCACATTCAACTGAAAAAATAGTGAATGGCAGAGCTCTATCAAAAATGCAATGTCAGTGCCCGGCCAGCGTGGCTCAGCGGTTGAGCATCGACCTAGGATCCGGGAGATCGAGGCTCGATTCCCAGTCATGGCACACGCCCAGGTTGCAGGCTTGATCCCCAGTCAGGGGTGTGCAGGAGGCAGATGATCAATGACCCTCTCATCATTGATGTTTCTTTCTTTTCCCCTCCCTTCCTCTCTCTGAAATCAATAAACATGTACTTAAAAAAAAAAAAAAAAAAAAAGTCAGTTTATAAAACAAACCCAGACACAAATGTGGGAAAAATTACAGGATCTCATTGGATGGAACAGCACCCAACTGTTCATGGGAGGGGAGGCAGGCAAGGAAGTAGGGAGGTGGCTTGGGGGTCTCAGGAGTTCTTAGGGGCACAATGGGGGTCTGCAGAGATGCGGTGGGATGGGGAGGGAAACAAGAAGGTCCACAGGGGCGATAGGGGGTGGGGGGCGTTGTGGGGCAGGAAGGTGCACAGAGGCAGAGCCTGGCAGGTTTGGGTAAAGCCTGGTCCACAGGGTGCTGCGCGGGGTGTTGGGCTTCGGTCTCCACAGCACTCCTTACTCGGTCCTGTTGGGCACCTGGCTTCAGGTCCACCCTTTTGCTGGTTCAGAGGATTACCTCACCCCTACTGCTTTGCCACGTGCATGCCTCCCTTTGGGGATCCCGGTTGGCTCTGCAGAGCCCGCCCCTCAAGAAGGAGCCCCTTCTAGGGTGAGTCTGGGCAGGTTGCATCCCATCTTGGACCTTTGGGTCCCTGTAGAGCAGGTGCTCCACCAGGGGCTCCCAGCCCAGGGCACAGTGGAACAGGCTGGACTGGAATTTTTGGTGGCAAAATGGTACCAGGTGTTAGACCAGGCAAATCAGATTGGACATGGATTCAGCAACCTTGAGTTTTGGCTAAGAAAGAATTCAGTCAAGATGCAAACTATAAGATAGTTTATTTAGAAAGTCTCAGAGGTAGAAGTGAGCCATTAGAAGAAATGGGCTCAGGAAACAAGTTACAGAGGCAAAAGAAGGGCCCTCAGAGCTTAGGAGAAAGAGGGAGGCCAGGATAACACCCCTGGGGAAAGGGGTGAGGAAAGGCTCGGGCATGCTGCAGAGAACTGCACTGGGTCCTCAGTCCTGGGGGCTTCTATCTGGAGGTCTCAGGGAAGGATCTCAATAGAATAGTCATCAGCTTTCCAAATGTGTCTCCTCAAGGTTGAGATCTCCACTGATTGATCAGCGCCAGGGCAGAGGGTAACTAGTCATCGCAGCTGGTTCTGTTGTCAGCCATGGCCTTACCCCGCCTGGCCTTGCTGCTGCTTTGGGGCTGGAACTGAAACCCAACTGAGGCCTCAGATGTCATCTATAGGGGTTTAATGCTTAAGAGAGTGGCATGCAAGGCCTTATAGTTTTGCCTGCTGCTAGGCACCTGGTGCTCTCTGCCCTGGTGACCCTCTGCTCTGGCTACCTTCCTGCTCTGCTCATGCCTAACAGCCACCTCCAGATTCGCTGTGAAAGCCCTGCTGCTCAGGCCTGGCCCATTCCGGGGAGCGGCCACTGTCAAACTCTCCCAGTGGTTGATACCCTCGATGCCCCACTCTCAAACTGCCTTCTCTGGCCTGGACCACTCACAACCTCTCAGCCAATGAGCGTCCTGCCCTGAGTGCATCTTCTCCCAGTGTCCCTGTCATCCTCATGTAGAGCCCAGGGCTTCAGAAGGAACCCCGCCAACGCTGAGGCCCATGAGCGATTGGCCCAGTCTATGTGCGCCAAGTGGAAGCTTCTGGGCTCCCATACCTGGCAGTCAGGTGGCCCTCCCTCCCAACTGGGCATATGGAGATGTGGGGGCAGCCTGCGCCAGGCTCTGATCAACACTGCGCCCTCGACATACATACATTCACATTAAACAAGCCAGGGAGATGCCGAGAAGAAGCTGGGTCACCTCCCCAGGGTTCCCACCTCAGCCTCTCCATCTCAGTGAGTCACCCCCACTCACCAGTGAGTCAGGCGCACACTTAGCATCACCTCCCCTGTGCCCCAGTCCACACCCGAACTAGGGCAAGCCTGTCCCCCATTTCACTTGTTTCTGGCCCCACTGCCACCTGACAGCCAGCCCGCCCCTGAGGGTCTCCTTGCCACCCCCACAGCTACTCAAAGGTGCGCTTAAAGTGGCAGTCTCAGACTCAGAAACAGAGTGGACAGGTGGGCGCCAGGCTGGGGGCGGGGATCGGGTTAGTTTAATGCGCGCAATTTCCCTCTGGGGTAATGAAAGTGTTCCGGAGGTGGTGGCGGCGATTGCACAACGTGAGTATGCTTAATGCCAACAGCCTGTAACCTTAAATGTGATCGTTACATGTATTTTAACCACAATAAAAAAAATGCTCCAGCCACTGCCCCCACCCTTCAAATAAAATCAGAACTGCTGCAGCTGCAGGGCCCAGCTCTGGGCCCCCATCCCTTGGCCACTCCCCAGCCCCAACGGCCATTGGTTCCATTCTTCCAACACACTAAGACTGTGTGTCTCTGGCCTTTGTGGGGTAGTTCCCTTTGCCTGAAGTGCTCTTTCTTCCCAGCCAATGCTGGCTCCTGTCATCTCTGGTGTCACCTAGCTGGCCACCATCTCAACCAGTCCCTCCACGAGTCTCCACCCAGAGAGGCCTTGGTGACAGGTCTAAGGAAGGCTCTCAGGGTTGGCCAGGCCAAAAGCTGGCCCTGATACACACCAGCTCTGGGACCCAGTGCCCTAGATGAGAAACAGGACACCCCTTTGGATTTTTGTCAGGCAAACGGAGCAAGTGAACACCCACAGATCACCAGGAGGAGGCCCAGTACCAGGAGAGCACTGACAACTGCTGCTCAGCTTCTAACCTATTAGCTGAACTCATGTGCCCTCTCCCAGGAAACTTGGCCAGGGCTGAGGAGACTTGGAAGGTGGGGTCCAGTTACAGGGCACCGGACACTGATAACCACAAGCTGCCCACCACCACCAGACAGGGGGTTACCCACAGCTGTGCAAACACCAAAATACAGGATGGCTCACCACGCCCTCCTGGGAGTTGGGTCAGGAGATGGGGTTGTTCAGAAAAGATACCAAAAGAATCAGAGCCTGGATGATCCTGAGGGCTAATGATGGTGGGATGAGGGCTGGTCTGGTCAGGCAGGCCAGGGAGCAGTAGCCACGGTCAGCTGAGGGGTCCCTTCAACCACTGCCTCCTGCAATCAGAGCCGGGAAACCTGGGGTCCTGAGGCCAGTGTGACTCCTCTGAAGGTCAGAGAGAAGTGCTGGGTAATGTGCCCAGGCCCTGTACAGCTCGGATGCAGAGAGAGACACAGGATGCACACGTACACCTGGCCTCCCAAACCTCTGCAGTGCCCACCTGAGACCCATTTCTTAATTTGTCTCTAAGATCAATGCCCTCCTGTTCAGAATTCCAAGATGTACCCTTTCCCTCAACTCCCACAACAGGCAAACTCCTGCAGGTCTGCAGGCCTCAAACACATCCTTCTAACAGAAAAGCGTCCTTTTGTCACCTCCACTGGACCCCACGAAGCCTCCTCTCAAGGCTGGGCTGAGCTAGAGTCCAGTCACTCCCAAACCTAAGCCACAACCCCACCACTCCACCCCCTGGAGGGATACCAGGGTGACAGGGGAAACAGCAAGAAGCCCACTTTGAAGCAAAACTCAGAGATCAGGCAAGTCCCTGTGGGGTACAGAGTTTATCCAAGCCAGCTGCCTCCAGGGCCAAGGCCATTCACCTGGGGCAGGGCTCCCACTCACTCCCCGGAGACCAGCTCCTTGATAGCCCAGTACTGACAGTGTCCAGCTGAGACTGGGTGTTCTTTCCAGTTGTGGTCCTAGGTCACTGCCTGGCCTCCTCCGCCTGCCACACCAACTCGCCTGAGATGTAGGTGGCCTGAACATGGAGGGAGTCGTCGAGCATCACGAAGTCTGGGTCAAAGGTGGACTGTGAGAAGGAGGCAGGGGTGGGGCTGCCCCCCTACCCCCAGTCCAAGGCTGGTGGGGAAACCAAGGCCTGGGACACAACTGGTGTAGGATGCCCCGACCCAGCATAGACTGACTGAGGCTCTGGAACCAAGACTCCCGGCAGTAGGGAGACAAGGGATAAAGGTCCCAGCGAGCCCCTTGCCTGACCTTGTCTCAGATGCCAGAAAGCTTGGCCTGATGGGATATGGGGGCCAGACCGAGGCTGGTGACTGGGTAAGGCTGCCTGGACCGAGGGAAGATTCCACACTTTTGCCCGCCCTGTCCCTGTCCCAGGCCTCCCAAGAACTCCTGAATCTTCAGGCTGCCTGGGCCACCCCACATTGGACCCTGACCTGCATCAGCCCCAAAGTCCAGGGTTCCTTTTCGCTTCTCCAGTCCCAGCAGCTGGGCAGGGTGCAATGACGCAGCCTCCAGGGCAGACTCCACACTGCAGCCTGCTCAGGAGACACAGCTGGGTGACCATCCTTACCACCCCCCCACCGGCCCTGGAGCTGCAAGTCCTAGGGATGGGGCGGGGAGCAGGGGCAGGATACATCCCAGGACTCTGCAGCAGGCTGACAAGGTCCTCAATCCCATCCTTCCCAGCCACTCACCCATCCCGGCCCTGCCCTGCAGGGACCCTCCTCCTCCTGGGTCCCAGGAAGAGTACCCCACAAGAAAGCAGTACCCTGGGCATCCATGAGGCTTCTTGGGACTTGGTGCTCTGCCCCTGCCCCCCATCAAGAAGTAAAATAACCAAACCCAATTCCATCTCCTGCATCATCCCCTACACCAGGCCACAGCGGTCTCTTGCCTCCCAGCCTATCTCCTTGCTGCTCTAAACAGCACCTTGGACCCTGGTGACCCAGAGCCCACAGCAGCCTACCTGGGTGCTGCAAAGAACCCCATGTGGCCTGGCCAAACACAGCGTCTGCCAGATAACCCTGCCCACCTCCCCTGGAGCACATGGCCTGACCCCAGAGCCTAGACTGGTACTCTGGCCTTCATCTCACCCCGGCTCTGTACCTGCCAAGTCCTATGATCCCACAGCCCCTGGCCAAGGCCCTGCCTTCATGTGGGGCAAAGACTCTTCTCTTGGGTGCCATAGCTTGGGTGTCTGTCACCCTGGGTTCCAGCCATCTGCCTGCTCTCTCACCTCTGCCCCCCTCCCTACGGGTGGGACCTTGGCCACATTACTAGTGCACTTCTCTGAGGAACCCCACTAGACATGACAGACAAGGGATGCCCAGCCTCTCTCAGGCGCAGTCTCCACCCTCTGCATGTGCACACACCAGCCTCACTGACCTGTCGCCTGTAGGAAATGCCGAACGCAGAAGTCCATCGGGGCTATGCTGCCGCTCAGTGTCTTGGTGCCTTGAGAGCAGAGAGGGCAGGCTCTGGGGAGGTGGAGGGCGGGGGCCACCAGGCACAGTGGATGGGGTGTGGGTTGGCAGGGGACACCTAGGTTCTTGCATCCCACCAGAGGGGCTGAGGGGTTCTAATGTGGGCAGCTAGTGGGGACAAGGTTCACTCACCTGCCACACAGGCTGTCAGCCCATCCACCTCCACTTCCTGCTGGCCCAGCGTGTGACGGCCATTGCCCAAGCCCAGGGCAGGGACAGCATCAGTGACCAACACCAGCCCTGGGGATGAAGGGGCTTTAGGACCTGCCCCACCTGGTCCTCCTACCTGCCCCCACCTTGCCCAGCCGCTCACCCTGGGGATGGGCCCGGTGGGCAATGCGCAGGGCGGCGGGGTTGGTGTGCATGCCATCGGAAATCATCCCATAGAAGATGTGGCGGCCTGGGGGCAGCCGGTCACTGGTCAGGAGCCCCACGATGCCTGGGTCTCGGTGGTGGAACTGGGCAGGGCCAGGAGGGAGAAAGCTGAGCCGCAGCAGGAGCCCCCGAGCCCGCCCGCCCCCCGCCCGGGAGCCGGGGCAGCACTCACAGGCAGCATGGCGTTGAAGAGGTGGGTGATGAAGGCCGCTCCACACTGCACGGCTTCCTCGGCCACCTGCAGGTCGGCCACAGAGTGCCCTGCAGAGGGAGCTGGGCTCAGATTCCACAACCAGCCCAGGAGTCCCCGGTGGGCCTGCCCCCTCAGGTGGGGACACCCCCCCTCACCTAGGGACACACAGATGCCACGAGCCGTCAGCGCCCGGATCACTTCATGGCTACGGCTCAGCTCAGGAGCCAGCGTCACAATGCGAACGTTGTCCAGGGGCCCGTAGGTAGCCAAAACATCGTGGAAGGCGTTGGCCTCAAAAGAGCGCAGGTGGGCCTCAGGGTGTGCACCCCGCTTCTCACGGCTGATAAAGGGGCCTTCCAGGTGCACACCTGGTAGGAGGGGAACGGATGGATCCAGCAGGCCTCCCACCCTGCAGCCCCTGCCCTGGCCC